CTGCCGATCCCTCCACTGGCTTCCATCCCCAACCCCCCTCTGCCGATCCCTCCACTGGTTTCCATCCTCTGCCAATCCCTCCACTGGCTTCCATTCCCAACCCCCCTCTGCCGATTCCTCCATTGGTTTCCATCCTCTGCCAATCCCTCCACCGACACTCCCCTGTGCCGATCCCTCCATTGGCTTCTATCCTCAACCCCCCTCTGCCAGTCCCTGCACTGGCTTCCAATAGCCCAAAGGATAAAACACAAAATATTAACAACCACTTACAAAGCCATCCACAACTCTGCCCCTGGCTATATCTCCAACCTCGTCTCAAAGTATCACCCTAATCGTCGGCTCCGCTCTTTCCAGCTCCCCCGTCAACTCCTCCCATACTCACCTCCAGAACTTCTCTAGAGTCTCTCCCATCCTATAGAACTCTTTACCCCAACCTGTCCGTCTATCTCCCACCTTGACTGCCTGTAGGCATTCCCTTAAGACTCATCTGTTCAGGGAAGCCTATCCCACCTCAACCTAAACACTCAACCATCACGTTCTCAAACAATTCATCCCCCCACACAGCTCCCTCCTCATGTATCACTCCCCCCTCCCTTTTAGATTGTAAGCCCTCAGGGGCAGGGCCCTCCTTACCATCTTGTCTTGTATTGTATTGTGATTGTAATGTCTTCCTTATATTGTAAAGCGCTGCGCACACTGCTGGCGCTATATAAATCCTGTATAATAATAATAATAATAGAGAGGTGCAGATTCAATAATATGATAAAATGACTTTTTATTGTTACAGGGTAAAGTATAGATTCGGTTTTAGGGATTGGGTTCACGTGAACCTTAAACAAACCCTGTCACCAAACAATTGCTGGTAAAAACACAGAAAAAAATAATATTTTAAATGCTATAAATCATTTTTTTTATTCACTTGACTTTAAACGTGCTAGAAAAGCTGACTGCTGCAGGAAAAGTCAGTACCCTGGCATTGCCCCCTCCTTCCTTGCATGTCATAGTGCTTTTATGGGGGTGGCTAGTTAATGGCCCAGCTCCTCCACCCCTTGCCTCCCTCCATGCAGATGCCAGGGGAGGAATACTGAGTAGCCTTTCTCACCTATGGTGCTGCCGCACCTTGGGGTTCCCTTCTGGTTTTGTCATGGGTGCCTTTCCATTTTTTGCAGTGTCATGCATTTCCATGGTGCAGGTCGAGTCGGCCACCACCATGAAAAAATGCATGACGCTAATCCAGGGTGGGCTTCATCCAGGACCTCCCCCAGCATTCAGCTTCTGCTGCACTGTGGTGGAGATTGTAAGGTAGGACTTTTTATGTGAAGGGAGGACTCTGATGTGTAGGAGGGGCTCTGATGTGTAGGAGGGGCTCTGATGTGTAGGAGGGGCTCTGATGTGTAGGAGGGGATCTGGTGTGTAGGAGGGG